ATCCTTGGTCAAGGCAAACCAGTTCTTCTCCTTCACCTCCCAGTTATCCGAGTATTTTTATTTGAATACATCAGCAGGCAAAGATTTCAAGGCCTAAGTTCAAAGCCCTTTCCCCATCTCTGTGATGTATGGTTATAAAAATAAGGCTAAGAACAGAAAATGGTCCTTATTTCTAATCCGTAGTCCTCGATGGCTTCTGGCTTTTCTCAAGAAAATCTATTTTTTCCTGGTTATTAAAAATCAGACATGTTCATGTAAAAATAATCAGACAATACAGAAAAGTCTAAAAATGTGAGTCAGGAGCATCTGCAATTTCATCACTGAGACAACTACAGATAATCCAGTGACTGTTCTTCTAGACTTAAATGTACACACTTACACACACAGATATTTTTGTATAAAGAAATGCAATAGTACCTGGCAGACTTTTTTCTTCTCTGCCCTTCTGTCTCAGCAATATATTATGGACATCTCTAAATGGCAGCAGAGACACCCACTGTGTGGACATTTGGCACTCTCGACCTCTCTGACTCATGTTTCACTCTACTTCTCACTGCCTCCAAGAGGAGAGTTGACTGGTAGGTGGTTCTTGGGGGGATGCCCCCACCCCCGAGAGCAGGTTGTTACTTAGGGCAGCGTGTGGAGATGGAATGAGGCCTTGCAAAGTGCTGAGTCCACTCAGCTGAGCTTTGGCTGGTCTCATGGGGCCTGAGGGAAATGGAAGGCTTAAAACGTGTTTAAAGACCAAAAACTGCTAAAGAGACAGCGTGATGGATTCAGTGGTAGGATTTGCATTTGGGGGGCTTGCCAAGCTGACCTCAGAGCAGGGAGACGCGCTGGGTGCTGACAGGGCCGCAAGCTCAGGAAAGATGAATTTAGGAGCAGGGGGTTTGGGAAGCAGTATGGAGAGCCTTCCACTTGGGGTTGGGGTGACTTCAAGGAGAGGAGTTTCGACTTTTTCTTGGATTTATTTATACCCAACCTCTTTCTAAAAAGGTGTTATAGTAGCTTTCCACAGAGGACATATGCAAAAAGGTCAGGCAGCTAGAAATAGAAAATCAGAGCCAGGAACCATTTCCATCTGAAGTAGAGGGCTGCCCGAAAAGGGTCCAGCTTCTCCCAGCCCCTGGGGATGAGCTGGTGAGAAAAACAGAATGACCCCAAAGGGGAGGAAGGGGAGGAGGCGATCTGGTTGATGTAAATGGACACAGTCTTGACTTGTCTCCAGGTTCTTCCCCTTCCTAATTTTATGAGCTCGGGTAACCACAGCATCTTTCTGAGCCTCAGCTTCCTTATCTATAAACATGAAAATAAAAATATCTGCATGATCATAAGTTTAATACAGACACTGTTCCTGTAAGTTACCTGACCTCCCCGTGTAGTTTACACTGGGACTTGCCCTTGGATGGGGGTCCCTTTCAGGGTGTACACACTGCACAACTGTGCCCCTGGGAACAGATGGTCATTAGAGGAAGGATGAAAGAGGGGAGGGAACCAAGGAGGTACATTTATGGTGCCTGCCAGCCACTGCCCCTCTAAAGTGGGCCCACTCACAGCCTTTCTAGAAGCAGCAGGCCACAGGCAGCCATGTTTTACATGCATGACCCCTTCCTCCTACCCAGCTGATTGGATCTGAGTGATACCTGACCCAACAGTGGCTGGTCAACGGGTTGCCCAATGATGTGTCTATGATTAGGCACAAAATGGCGGGCCAGTCCAATCGGCCCTTTCTCTAGAGAGGCTGAGTCAGTGAATGGGAGTGAATGGGAGCTGCCACTGGAAGGTCATGAGGGAGAGTTGGAGCCAGGAAAGGAGCAGACACCATAAATCAGGAGAGGAACTGTGTGGGCAAAGAGAAAAGTGAAAAAGGGAAAGTGGCTGAATCATTCCTGGGTGCTTATCTATTGCTGTTGTAGCAGACTATCCCCAACCTCATGGGCTTTAAATAATAATTATTTTATTAGATCCCTTGATTTTGTGAGTAAGGAATTTGGGCAAAGCTTGGCTGGGCGATTCTTCTGTTCCATGTGGCATTTGGCAAAGGTATTCAGCCAGTGGATGGGCTGATCTGGATGGTCCAAGCCAGCTCTACTCCCATATCTGGTGCTTGGGGGCGTGGGGTGCGGTTGGAAGTCTGAGCTCAGCTGGGTCAGTCCACTGGAGCCCTTCACGTGGCCTCTCCAGTATGGCGGTCTCAGGGGAGTAAGACATCCTACACAGTAGTTCCAGGCTTCCAGAGAGAATGTCCCAAGGGACCTTAGCTGAAGCTTCAAGGCATTTTCATCTCAGAATGTCATATTCTACTGGCCAAATAAGTCACTAAGATGAATCCAGATTCAGGGAGAAGGGAATTAGACTTCCCCTCTATAGGTAAGATAACAAAGGATTTGCGACCATTGTTACAGGTGAGGGGCCATAATCTCCTAGAGCTACCTTAAATCCAGAACACCATCTGGTTCAAGAATCCCATCCCTGTTCCTCTCGTGTTTGGGTTTCTGAGAGTGGCTGTCCCCCTCACTACGTATATCCTTGCAATAATGTTCCTGTACTTGAGTGACAGAGCTTGAGTGGGTCTCTCTTCCTCATACACAATGAGCCAACCTAAAGAAGTGATGGTCCTAAGCTCTTGGAAGAAGAATCCCAAGTATGGCAGCAAAAAGTTACCCAAGATGTGAGCTGATTAAGCTGGGGTAGGGAACCCCTAGTCTTGTCACCTTTCAGAGCCTCAGTTTATCCATCGGGAGCATGGAAATGAAACTATCTGCTCTACCTACCTGAATCATTGTAACCAAGTAATGTGAGACTCTTTTTGTCATTTGCTTGATCTCACCCTAGTTCGTATCATGACACCCATGCCCTAGTTTGGGGCCACTGCACAAACGTGCACAGGAGAGTGAATTTTCCTCATTACTGCCCGCCCCCATGATCTTGGCAAGCTGTTTCTCCTAAGGAAAACAGTAGTAGATGGTTGAAATAAGTGACCTTTAAGGACCTCGCAGCTCTGAAGTTCTAGGATTCTGGGAGGGTTCTGGGAAAAAGGAAAATGTTGGTACAAAATGATTTGGGGACAGGATGGGGCAGCTCATTGGTGGTGAATGATGGAGGCAGCCCCTGTTGGAGTGCTTATAGTGGGGCGCATGGGGCCAGGAAGGAACCCAGAGCCTGTGAGGGGAGTCGGGGAGTGGAGGAGGGATGGGGGGCTGGAGGGCTGAGAAGGGAAAGGCCAAGTTGGTGCAGCGGTTGACCAACTTTATTCCTCCTTCTTCATCCTTCTTCCCCTTCCTTGAGCCTTCTATGGTTTTTCATCCCTCTGGGCGTTTGTTAGTTCTGCTCCCTCTGCTTGGAAGCCTCTCTGCCCTGCTAGGCTAACTCCAATCATTCTTTAGGTCTCCCCTAAATGCCTCTTTTTTTATTATTATTATGTTAAGTTAGCCACCATACAGTGCATCATTAGTTTTTGATGTAGTGTTCAGTGATTCATTAGTTGCGTATAACACCCGGTGCTCTTCACAACACTTAATACCCATCACCCAGCTGCTCCATCCCCCCAGCACCCTCCCCTCTGAAACCCTCAGTTTGTTTCCCAGAGTCCAGAGTCTCTCATGGTCTGTCTCCCTCTCTGATTTCTCCTTCAGTTTTCCCTCCCTTCCCCTATTGTCCTCCATGCTATTCCTTATGTTCCACATACGAGTGAAACCATATGATAATTGTCTTTCTCTGCTTGACTTATTTCACTTAGCATAATCCCCTCAAGTTCCATCCATGTCGATGCAAATGGTGGGTATTCATCCTTTCTGATGGCTGAGTAATAGTCCATTGTATACATGGACCACCTCTTCTTTATCCATTCATCTGTTTTCCTTCCACAGTTTGGCTATTGTGGGCATTGCTGCTATGAACATGGGGATGCATGTGCCCCTTCTTTTCACTACATCTGTCTCTTTGGGGCAAATACCTAGTAGGGCAATTGCTGGGTCATAGGGTAGCTCTATTTTTAACATCTTGAGGAACCTCCATACAGTTTTCGAGAGTAGCTGTACCAGCTTGCATTCCCACCAACAGCATAAGAGGGTTCTCCTTTCTCCACATCCTCGCCAACATTTGTTGTTTCCTGCCTTGTTAATTTTTGCCATTCTAACTGGTGTAAGCTGGTATCTCAATGTGGTTTTGATTTGAGTTTCCCTGATGGCTAATGATGTTGAACATTTTTTCATGTGTCTGGTAGCCATTTGTATGTCTTTGGAGAAGTGTCTGTTCATGTCTTCTGCCCATTTTTTGACTCGATTATTTGTTTTTTGGGTGCTGAGTTTGAGAAATTCTTTATAGATCTCGGACACCAGCCCTTTATCTGTAGTGTCATTTGCAAATATCTTCTCCCATTCCATGGGCTGCCTCTTGATTTTGTTGACTGTTTCCTTTGCTGTGCAGAAGCTTTTTATCTTGATGAAGTCCCAGAAGTTCATTTTTGCTTTTGTTTCCCTTGTCTTTGGAGACGTGTCTTGAAAGACGGTTGCTGTGGCTGATGTCAAAGAGGTTACTGCCTATGTTCTCCCCTAGGATTTTGATGGATTTCTGTCTGACATTGAGGTCTTTCATCCTAAATGCCTCTTCTTTAGAGAAGTTGTCCCTGAATCTCTAGCCCAAATGAGAACCTGCTCTTACAGCGCTAATTGTATTCATAATGATGTGTTTCCTGGTGTAATTATGAGCTTGGTGTCTGTCTCCCCCACTAAAGCAGGAGCGTTCACGAAGGCAGTATTTGGCTAGTATTTCTTCAAGGAACAAATGAATGAGGACACCAGGCTCATTGGGCTGGAGACCAGAATGCAGGTCCCCACTGTCCGGGGGGCAGAGCAGGACCCATGATAGCAGGTGCCAACGAGAAGGGCTCTCCCCAGAGGTCTGAAAAGATCCCCTAGCCACTCACCCGTGCCCCCTCCTGGCCCACCTGCCGCCCACACACACAGCCGGACCCAGAGCACTAGAACACTGCAGCTTTATTGATTGAAACAACCGCGTCCGCAACTAGAGGTTACATCTGGGGGGCTTGGGGGTGAAAGAAGGACAAAGAGGTTGGGGTGGAGACAGAGAGCAAGGCAAAGGGGTGAGGATGGGGTCGTCTGACTAGAACAACCCCAAGACCTTTCACCCATGAATGAGGGTCTCCTGTTGTGCTTTTACCTTGGTGGTGGGGTGGGCCTGGGCATGGAAGGGTTGGCTTTTCTCTCAAGTCTGGGAGGCCTCAGGGCTGGAGCAGTCCCCTCCTTCCCCTGCCCCTTCTCCTGGGTTGGGGATAAAGGCCTTGGTGAGCTGGCCACCTGGGGCAGGAAGGATGCCTGGAGACCGCTGGGGCAGAGGGGCCAGCAGAGTTGAGCTGAGACGGTGATTATGGGGGTGGCTGGGAGGGGGTGGGGAGGTACTGGGAGGGAGGGTCCTCCTAGGGGGGCCTCTGGGAAATGAATTCAGGGGACACGAGGGAGGGGTGATGGTGGGCAAGTGCCATGTCTCTGACCTCAGCTTTCTCACCTGTACCATGGGGGCACTGGATTAGATGGTCTCTAAGGTCCCTTCCAGCTCTCAGGGTCAAGGGCTCCCTAGGAAGGAGTGGTCCTTCTGCCCCAGCACACACCCTCACACACATACACACACATACTCACACCCCCACACAGACCCCTTCACCCTCACAGACACACACTCTCACACTCAGCCCTGATCCAACAGAGAGGGGTGTGCTATCTTGCCTTTGGAAGTGGGGAGAGCTCCCCAGAGCCCAGAACTTGAACCCGTGGCCCTACAGGGACTCTCCAGAGCATGTTCATCCACCCCATTCCTTGGGACAGACCTTGGAAATACTGCCAAGCTCTCCGAGTCCAGGGAAAGGGAAACACAAGACTTTGTACCCTCTCACCCCATCCCTCTTGGTCCTTAGGGGGAAGCCCACAGGACAAGGACACCAGGACACACCGATCTTCCCTTGGAGCCCAGGCTCACGTGAAGACAGAGGGCCAGGGAGGGGAAACAGTCCCTTCTCTCTGGGAGCCTGGGCAGTAGCTAAAGCCAGTGTGGGCAGGGGGAGGCAGCGTGGGAGAAGCAGTGGCCTGGGATGAGAGGCCAGAATTTGGGGCGGGAGACAGCACCGCTCCTAGAGTAGGTGCCCGGTAAAATCTATAACATCTGTACCAGCGCCAGAAGACAGGGCAGGTGGACCAAGCCCGGCGCTGCTGCCTGGTAGGAGGCCTTGGCCCGCAGTGTGACAGCCCCAGGGTGGGAGCACCGGGCTGCCAAGGCTGGCTCCACCCCAACCGGCTGTGTGACCTTGGGCCAATCCGCCCCCTGCACCTTTCTCATTTACACAAGGAGGGGTTTGGCCCTCTGAGGCCCATTCCACCAGTGAGAGCCTGAGCCAGGGGCTTCCACCAAGCACAGGGAGAAGGGAGAATGAACGGGAAAGAGGCGGCAGGGTATCCCAGAGAAGGCAAGGTGGGAGGAACATCCCGGGAGGTGGGGGCACGGTCTGCAGGCTTAGCTGGGTACCCCGGGTGGCTGCCCGTGGTCCCAGGGGCAGCACAGCCCAGCTGAGACTCCCCCTCTTCTGCCTGTACAGCACCTGGCCCCAGGGATCTCCCCGAGACATCAAACAGGGGAAACTGGAGTGAACAAACCCCAACACCTTGAGAGCTGACCCTGGACTCCCTGTTTTAAGGCCACAAAATGCCTCAGCCACCCTGACCCGGAGGGCGAAACTGCCACAGGGGAGACGCGCCGGATCCAGCCAGCCTGGTCTCCCCTGGGCCAGGGGTCTTCATGGGCTACCCACCAGCGCACAGATGCTGACGCCCACAGCCCAGGTGACATGACACAGACGTGCTGACTCACAGGCAGACACCAGACACACGAACACCGGGACACACAAAGACCCTTCCTCCTTGCAGACCCCATCCTCCCACACACAGACCGGCACACCCATCACACACTGTTAGTGTTAGTACGCACAGACACACACACTCCCTGCAGACCTGCACACGCACGCGCACACACACACACGCACACAGGTACCAGCCTCGCCCATGCACACAGGAGGACCAAGGACCTCGGTGCCCCAAGCAGGAGGTGCCCAGTGCCATTCCTCTCTGCACCTCTGTACCCACCCCAGCAAGGGCGCAGAGGAAGCCCCTGGCAGGCCAGTGGTTCGCATTCCTGGGTTCTTCCGAGGAGCTGTTAAACATTTCTGATGCCAGGCTGCCCATCAGTCCAATTAAATCAGAACCTCTGGGGATAGGACCCAAGCATCCGTGCTCTCTAAAAGACCCTCTGGTGGTTCGATTCTGCAGCCAGGGCTGGAAGCACTGATTTATAGAATCCATTCCACTGGGCAAAGCCCGCGGTGATTCCCCTATCAGGCCCACCTGTGCTGGGCATGAGGTTGGGATGGGCCGGGGGAGAAGGCTGGAAGACTCGGAGGAGGAGCTCACAGTCTAGTTGGGGAAACAGACCCTGCACAGATGGGACAATTAAGGAACAATACTCAGCAGACGGGATGGAAGTGCATTCTGGGAACCTGGAGCCACTCATTTTGGAGGGAGGCCTCGGCTGGGCCGGCAAGGCAGCCAGGCTGGCGGGGGGTCAGAAGGCCCCGCTCCAGGCCTGGCCCAGCCGCCCCAGCTGTTGGTAACGACAGCACAAGCCCCGGAGCAGTGAGAGGGGCCGCCTTCACGGCGGGGCCCCCCTGCCTCTTGGCATTGCCCTGCTCCCCCTGCTGTCCCCTCCGAAGGCTCCAGGCCAAGCCCTGTAACACGCCCCACCAAAGGTGCTCGCATTTCAATAGGGTCCTCCGTAAGCTCTTTGTCATCCGTAGGGGATGAAAGGTAGAAAATCAGGCGGTGGCAGGCAGCTTGAGGCTACAGAATAGGGCTGCCAGTGGTATATTTGGCCAGCACCCCACACACATTCATGTCACTCGTGGAGGGGGCATGCATGCCGACATCCCGCAGGCACGTACTGAGCCAGGGGTTAGACCGGCCTCACAGACGGGTATGTGTAACTGTGCGTGCAGACTCCCATTTGCACACGCTCCTGCCCAGAGATGTACCCACAGTGCTACCCAGACACAGACAGGTGCACACGCACGCTCACACACACAGCCACATGCACACGTGCATGAAGACTCACCCTGGAAGGGGCTGGGCCTCCTCTCTCCCATGGATGGTGGGGTGGGGTCACAAGGGTCTCACTAGATTCCACTGTGCCCACCTCGGCTCCCAACCCAGAACCCGAGGACAGGGAGCCCTTTCAGTTCGGGCATGAGCTCAGCTCCAGGGCAACAGGAGGCCTGCACCTGCCCTGCCCCCTGCCCCAGCTCTGCAAACCCCTCTGTCCCCCACTGGGCAGGGAAGGGAGCAGCCAACGAGATGGTGCTTTGCAGTGGAGGGGGAGCAGGGGCACCCCCTTGACACACACCCTCTTATCCAGGGCACCCCTTCCTGCCAAGTATAGAAGAAATGAAGGCTCCGCTCTACTCCCAAATACCATGGGGGCACAAACTCGCAAAAAACAGGCCTTCTCCTCTGCTCCTCTCAAAGTCAAGCCTCAGCCCAGAAAATGGCTGGCCAGCACCCCACCCCCACACCCCCAGCCCCGCTCCCTTGAGACGCAGGGGGGTGCTGAGGTTGGGCCAGCTGACTAGGGTGGAGATTGTGCTCTCAGGAATCCAGCTCCTTGTGGGGTGGGGTGGGGTTAGATGGGGCAGGAGGGAAGGTGTCAGTCTTCAGACTGCCCAGGCCCAAGACCCTGTGCTGGGTCCCTCCGAAGGGGCAGGGTGGGGAGGATATGACGTCCAAGAACAAACAGGTCAAGGGATCAAGGTGACCTGGGGTCTCCACCTTCCAGCCCTTGCCCTGAAAACAAAGGGCGTGTGGCAGGTGCCTCGCCTCCCTCGCCACTGCCCGCAGAGGGACATTCACAGAGCTCACAAAGTACCCCGGGCCTCCTTTGACCCCAGCCTCCCTCATCCCAGGGAGTCCCAGAGTCCAGCCAAGGGTGGGGCTCCTGAGCCAGCTCCCCTTCTGGCTCCCTTCTGGTAAAGCCACTGGGCTGAGTTAGGAACGAGGGAAGGTCACCAGTTAGGAACAGGTGCAGCCAGGACAACGCCCACGTGGCGCCGAGGTCCCTGGGGTGGCAGACGCCATTCCGGCGAGTCCCTTGTCTCCGCAGAAAAGAAGGTGCTGGCCGGTCGGATAGAAACTTGTGCTTTAATACGTGTGTGTGTGTGCGTGTGAGTGTGTGCGTGTGTGTGTCAAACGACCGGCTCCAGGGCCTCAGCGCCGGGCCTCTGTCCTTGTTTCTCTGCTCATCCTCGCAGCCAATGCAGGCCCCCTCCCTGGCGGGCCGGCCCTGCCCCTGGGCACCCCGGCTGGCGGGGGTCAGTCTTTGGTACGATGCAGACACTTTGGTGTGCCGGGGGCGGGGGTGGGGAGGCCACGCAGCTCTCATCATCTCTGCAATGCCAAGAGGAAGATGACCATGGGCCCCCAGAGCTGTGGGTGGGGCTGGCGGGGGGCTCCACTGCCCGGTATCACCACCACTGTGACAGGAGAGAGAAGGGACACGGGCCAGGGCCCCGGTCAGCTCGGTAGGGCCGGGGCCTAGCAAGCTGCCCCCTCTCTCGGGGGGCACCTAAAGGGGGACGCTGCCCTCACTGCACACAGACACACCCGTAAGCACAGATGTGAGGTTGGGTGGTGTGGGGCTTAACTTAAGCCTCCAGGGTCCAAATCCTGACTCTGCAGCTCACTAAGACACGGAGCAATTCACCTGACCTCCGTGGGCCTCAGTTTCCTCGTCTGTAAAATGAGTCCAATAGTCAGTGCCGCCCCAGGGGGCTGTTGTCCTCACGACATGAGATCACGCATATACAGCATTTTGCACGCTGCCTGGTGCATGGTAATGACTCAATAAATCCCAGCTGTTACAATTGCAAACACCTGGCCCTGGGGGGGTGGGGCACATGTTCACATCTGCCCCCCCCCCCACTGCCCCCTCCCCACACACAGACATACCCAGACGCAGACAGAGGAGGCATCCGGGTACTGTAATAACTCAGTAAGTTCACGGGAGGGCACAGTTCTCATTGCCCTACAAATGCCCCATAACCTGAGCCAGGGTGGGGCCCAAGATGGGGCCCAAACACACCAGCCCCTGTTCATGTAGTCCCTGACACACGCATCCCATCACACAGTCACTCTGAACCCCCATTCAGCCCTGACACAGACAGATGCCTACCCACACCACCCCCCCTACATTCGGCTCCTCCCTCCCTCCCTCCCTATCTTGCACCTTTATTGGGATCCATCTGTTTCCGGGGACACTCTCCCTTCTTCAGTGTGACATCATCTATGGCGATATCCCCCAGGTAGCCAGAGCCTCGAACCCCCTCAAAAATAATCTGGGGTGGGGTCAGAGAGCAGAGAGCAGGGATTAGGGGATTCTTCCCAAGAGAGCCCCCAACCCCTTCCTTCCCCTCAGTCCACTTGGAAGCCCCCATACCCCTGCCTGGGTTTCTCCCCAGCTCCCCGGAGGGAGCCCGGAGTCTTCCTAAGTGCTCCCTGGTCAGAGCACCGGCCTGAGGGCTGGGGGAGCCTATGAGGGGCCCCCGGGCCCGCTGGGCTCACCTGGAAGGGCCCGCTGGGTTTGATGGGCACATGCACCTGCTGCCACACATTGCCCTTATTGCCACTGAGGGACCAGGCGTGCGTGTCCAGGCCCCCTTTGTTCCGGGACCGCACCAGGAGGTTGAGGGAGCCTGTGGTGGGGATGAAGAGAAGGGGGCAGTGAGGGTCTGGACAAGGCCCCCTCCCCCGCCACTGCCCACAGCACCAGCCCAGACTGGTTCACATCCCGTTATCCCCGGAGGGGGGCGGGGCGGCGAGGGGCACCTTCAACACGGGACAGAGACCACAGCAGCAGGCTTCAATTCATCAGGACGCCTGCAAATTTTCTTTCATTCCTTCCCTTCCTTTCTAATCAGCTGATCCCCCCCAACACACACACACACACACACACACACCATCCTTCTTCCTCTAAACAGCGGAGTTGTCCCAGGCAGTGGGGCCTATGACTGAGCACAGAGCAGGATTCCCAAAGCACACAGTGCACACCCCTGGCGTGGGATGATTTTTCTGGAAGCACAGGAATGGACTTTAAAACGTTTGATACTTAGATGTATGTTTTGAGAAATGAATAAAGGCGAGTCCTTCAAACTCACGATTTCTCTAATATTGACGCTTCGGACAATGCTAAGAAAAAGAGGGAATTGCTTTAAAGAGAGATGTTGGTATTTGTGCCACATAGCCACGGGAAAAACAGAGGAAGTGAAACGCTGAGGGCATTTGCCTGTGGGTGCTGAGCTCGTGTGCCCACGGCCACAGGGGCCTGGAATTCTGGAGGTGCTGGGGCCCTGGAAAAGAGGGAGGGGATCGTGGCTTGGCGAAGGTGCCCAGGCCATGTCATGCCCCTTCTTGGCTCGTCCAGCCCGCCTCGAGCCCCCAGTGATACGAAGGATCTGGCTCAGAGGGAAGGGGGAATGAATCTTAGCACCTGGTGGCTGGCATTTCCATGGCGCTGTCCAGAGACAAAGCCACACCATCTGTGACACCAGATAGCAGACCCCCAGTGGGGGAGAGTCACCAAATGTTACCTGCCTGAGCTGAAAGGAGTTGGCCTGAAAGACACAAGGTCTGGGGACAGCTGGTTCTCAGAGCTGCCAGGTGGGCTACGAGGGGAGGGAAGAGGAGGGAACAGGACAGCAAGAAACACCCCCTTCCCCAGCAGCAGGGCCAGGCCTGGGTGGGGACCCTTGCCAGCAGATGGACCCATCAGATGGCTATGGCCAGCTCCCAGTGGGCCGGGAGGTGCCACACAGGCTTCAATAGGCCCAAGCCCCAATGCCTTTCAGGCTCCTCACCAGCCCCAAAGGGACCCTCTCTCTTCCCCATCCTGGAGCTCTTCCATCCACCCCCGTTCTTATCCCCCTCAATTCCCACATCTTTTCTCCTTCCTCCACCACCCTGCCCCAAGGCCACTAATGGGGGGACCCCTCCTTTTCACTGCTTAACCAAAAATTGCTTCCCTAAGTACCCCATCAGCTCTAGGATCTCCCCTGCTCAGGGGCTTCCTGACAGCATTTCATAGGGGTCAGCCAGGGTCCAAGACCTGCAAGCTCCCTGAAGGGTGGGCCTGCTCACTGTCTTCCCTACCTCCCTTGCCACCTGCAAAGCCAGAGTGAAATGTGTGCTGGAGCCTGGACAGACAGACTGCAGCTTCCCAGCCTCTGGGCTTCTGCTCAGGCTTTTCCCACTGCTGGAGACTCCCTCCCCTACCACATTGCCCTGGCCAAATCCTTCCTGTGATTTGAGGCCTCTCTGAAACGCCATCTCCAGGCCCCAGACCACTCTCTGCTCCGTGGTGTGACAGTTAGCGGGGATTCACATCTTCTCCTCCCCGTCTGACTCTTTGAGGGAAGGTCTGCAGCAAGTTGCTATGGGTTCTAAACAATTACGTGCTGAATGAAAAACTGTTTATGATGGTCCTCACAACTGAAAGAGGACTTTCAGAGAAACTCATGGTTAGAAATTTCTTTGGGGTTCGTGAACCTTAGGCCTCCCTATCATTCATTCGTTCAACTAATTGAGCCCCACTATGTGCCACGCACTGTTCTAGACACGAGAGATACGTCAGTGAATAAGGCAAAGACCCCTGCCCTCCTAGAGCTTACCTTCTATTGGTGATAAGCATTATAAAGCTAATAATGCAGGGAAAGGAATAAAGAGGTATTGAGGTGGGATTGTCAGGGACCTCTCTGAGGAGACCTGAATGAGGGAAGGGGGAGAATGTTCCAGGCCAGGGAACATCATGAGCAAAGTCCTCTTCGGCAGGAACCCGCCTCAACTATTTCAAGAAAAGCAAGGAGACCAGTGTGCTCGCGAGCTGAGTGGGAGCCAAGGTGAAAGTGGCAGAAAATGAGGTCAGAGAAGGAGGCAGGGGCCGGATCAGATACTGGAGGCCTAGACGAGATGGTGATGAAAGGGGCAGAGCAGGGGAGTAACGTGACTTGGGACAGGGGGCCCCTCCACAGCATCCCTGCTAGAAAGCCCTCCTGTCCAGATCTGATGCTTACAGAGTCTTCCTCCGGTCAAATTCAAATCTGCCTTTGGCTTCTATATGTATATAGTGTTTCCGGAAACCTGCCCCCAGATCTAGCGCAGTGATTGCCTTTGGGGAAGGGCTCTAGGTTGCAGGAGGACTGGGACGGGAGGGGGATTCTCATTACGCGCCCTTTGTACCTCCTGACCCATGCAAAATACATGGCCTGTCTTAGTAAAGAAGTAAACAAACAAATAAATAAAAAATTTAAAAACTTGTCACTTCCTCCGCAGAGTCTTCCTTAATCAAGCCCCCAGCGCTGGTCCCTGTTCCCAGTTGTCTTGGCCACGTGGACACGTGTCACAACGGCCCCTCAGTCTTATCTGGTGCCATTAGCTGTTTAACGTCTGTCTCTCCCACTTGACCACAGGTGCCAGGAGCATGGGGAACTGCTCTGCCCTGTTCATTGCAGCACCTGATGCCTGGCACAGAGCAGGAGCTGGGGAAGTGATGGCTGAATGATAAGTTCATTGATTCACGTGACTTCCCAGAGGGCGAATGCACGCCCACCCTTAGGAAGCCGGACTGCCCCTCATTGCTCACAAAGCGGCACCCTCCCAATCCTGTGTTCAGGGCTTGGGGGAGTCAGACAACTTGGGTTGCTGTGTGATCCTGGGGAAAATGCTGAACCTCTCTGATTTATATGGTAGTACCTCCCTCACCTGGTGCTTGTGAGAGATAATGGGACTACAGATGCAGAGCACCCAGGAAGTCACCAGGCACTTGACAGGTGCTCAATACAGACACCCTCTTAGCCTTTTTCGCCCTCTCCTCCAAGGCTTCCATCTTGTCCTGCTGGAGCTATCTTCTTTGCAGACTCAGGACAACCTCAGACAAGCTGGCTCTGGCTTCCTCCCTTGCCCAGATTCTGCCTACACCCCCTCCAAGGATTTGTCATTCAGCCAAGTTGGGAAGCCCAGGCCTCGCATGGGCCATGCCCAGCCTCCTGTGGACTCCCTCTCTCCTCCCTGCCCCAGCAACCCTTGGACAGACTACCTGGTCCCCTGACTCACCGATGTGCTTCCCGTACATGTGGTAGAAAAAGGAGACGCAGTAGAACTTAGCGCTGGCATTGTACAAGGGACTCACCAAACGGGCTCGGTCCCCCAGCTCCCGGGGCCTTGATGTCTCGATGAACATGTAGTAGCCTGTTGGGGAGGGGGAGATGCACCAACAGCCTCCTCCTCACCCCACACAGGCTGCTTCCTGTCTGATTCCTTCACTGCCTTAACTTCACCTGACCCCAGGGGCCTCACCTATCCCATCTGGTCCTCCCCGCCTCACCGCCCGGCACAGGAGTCTAGGCCAGGAGTTCGAGCTCTAGTGCAGTTTCTCTTCTTCTGAGTCCCCATGAAGACAGAATTGTGTCTCCCCCCTCAAATTAGGGCTCCCTGAGGCAGGGCTGTGTCTCCCCTCAGACTGGGGCTCCCCCCTCAGACTGGGGCTCCCTGAGGGCAGGACTATGTCTCCCCCTCAGACTGGGGCTCCCTGAGGGCAGGGCTGTGTCTCTCCTCAGACTGGGGTCCCTGAGGGCAGGGCTATGTCTCCCCTCAGACTGGGGCTCCCTGAGGGCAGGGCTGTGTCTCCCCCCAGACTGGGGCTCCCCCCTCAGACTGGAGCTCCCTGAGGGCAGGACTATGTCTCCCCCTCAGACTGGGGCTCCCTGAGGGTGGGGCTGTGTCTCCCCCTCAGACTGGGGCTCCCTGAGGGCAGGGCTGTGTCTCCCCCCTCAGACTGGGGCTCCCTGAGGGCAGGGCTGTGTCTCCCCCCCTCAGACTGGGGCTCCCTGAGGGCAGGGCTGTGTCTCCCCCCTTGGACTAGGGTTTCCTAGTGCCAGACCCCTCCCTGAAGCTGTCCTTGCCGCAGTCCATGTCCTCACCCTCAGGGGTGCCACTGATGTCAGTGGGAGGACCAGTGTTGGGGGAGCGCTTGGGATTCTGGGTGAGGGCATTCTGCCGTGTCCAGTCAAAGTTGTCTGTCAGGTCCTGGGTGTAGCCACAGATCTTCTCATCTTCAAAGTGGCAGGTGTTGTCTGCATTGGGCCAAGGAGGAGGGGAGGAGACGAAGAGGGTCAGGCTCCTCAGGCGACCTGGTCTAGCTTCGCCCTCCCTGGCCACTCCGAGGTAGGTGCCGCGCATCCAAGCCGTGGGCCTAGGATCTCAGGACTTCAGAAACCAGGCAACAGGGCCCCTGACAAATCTGTTCCCACAACGGGACTTCCTAACCTTTGTACACTACAGACCCTCTGACATCTAGTGAAGTCTAAGGACTCCATCTCAGAATAATAATTTTAGATGCACAAAATGAAATACACAGGGTCACAAAGGAAAATCACTTATATGGAGATACAGCTGTCAAAATATTTAAAAAACACATTTGTGAGATAACAATAGGTGGGCTTCTTTATTATCTAATTAAATAACAAGATCTAGTGTTAGCTCTAATAACTGCTGTGGTTTTGAAGTCCTGATGAATGTAAATGATATTCAGGAGTGGCTGTAACAACTTCAAGATAATGTGCAAACGGGGCTTTGTCCTGATGACAGGGTCACAGGGAGTGATCATACTAGTGCAGTCTGTTGCCTACATTCATCCCTGAAGATGTTAAACTTCTGCTAGAAGTTAGGGGAAGATAAAGAAGTCACTGTATGCCCTTCCATGTTCCAGGTTCATGGACCCCCTGAATTCTATACACAGATCCTTTGCGGGGAGGAGGGCTTCCTGGATCTCAGATTAGGGACCCCTGCCACAGAGAACAGGGGATGTGGACTAGTCTGGTCTCTCCATTTTTCTTTTAGGGACAGTGATTCTAGGGACAGGATCAGGGTGCTGATTGAGGAGGAGAGGCCCTGAGTTACAGATGTCCCCTACCTCTGGCCCCCCTCCACCTTTAAGCCCCAGAATCAATCCTGGATGCACATGTCTCCAAGCCCAGCCTTGTCCCCTTTGGCTTCTCCTTCCAGCGGCTGGCCTCCACCCCATTTTCTCTCTGGGTATCTCTCGGGGTCCTCTCCTCCCACCAAGGGAGGCTTTGTGTTCCCAAAGGGAAGGGGAAGTGGGGGGGAGGTGTCTCACCTGACAGGTTGGGAGAGTTGATGGCTGAGAAAGCAAGCGGGAAAACCAAGTCAGAACTGAGGTGTGGGACCGTACAGAGGGTGCCCAGGCTTCGGACCAGGGGACAGGGTTCCCAAAACCAGGACTGGGGGCCAGAGGGGCCTAGCCTGCGGTGACAAAGTAGGACACTGCACAGTGGGGAGCCCCAAGCTCTGGAACCATGTGGGGAGGTTGAAGGGGGGTCCCCTGGGGAGGAGATGAGCCCACCCTTCCCACCACCCCTACCCCCCACCACCACCACCTACGCTCTGTGTAGTGGATGATGCGGGAGGCCGTGTCACCAGCCCCGAAGGTGGTGTAGGGCGTGAGGCGGACCTCGTAGCTGTAGGGCACACGGAGGTCAGTCAGGATGTATTCCAGCAGCTGCCCCTTCTCCACGCGCCGCACTGGGATGGCCTTCACCACGGCGTTGTGCTGATTCAACTGCAGATACAGGGCGTTCCCAGATGCCCAGCAGGCCACACCCTCCACCAGAGCACCGGCCCAGGCCCTGGTGTGACTTGGAGGGTGGGGTGGGGGGCAGTGTCAGGGAGCAGAAAGAATAAAGGACTAGGAAGCCAGACCCTCAGTTTCCCCCTCTGTGAGAGAGAGCAATCACTCCTACCACGCCTCCCTCCTAGGGCTGTCCTTAATAATATGGGATGCTGGGCACTGCTCAAAGTGATTTGCCATTATTAACTCACTTAATCCTCAAAATAACAATCCTCTGAGGTGGAACATTATAATGACTCCCATTTTACAGATAAAGAAACTGAGGCCAAAGAGATGTCATTTGCCCTAGCTCACACAGAGCTAGATTCTAGCCTAGGCGGTCTGCCCCAGAGCCACACTTTTACCCTCCACACCTCCTGCCCCTTGGGCAGAATCACATGGAATTAGACTGGACACAAGAACAGCATAGCTCCAGTCTTGCATTCTAGAGACCCTGTGGATGAGACTGCCCCCCTACCCCACTCTAAGCTCCTGACTCACAAGTAGATTCTGTGTTTTGTGAGCAGAGCTAGCTCTGTCCCCTTTCCCTTGTATGAACCCAGCAGACATAGCCCAATTCTCAGGGCTGGGCCCAGAGCATGGGGTCAGAGGGCACAGGTCCCTAGAACCTCCCAGCTTCTGCTGCTGTGTCCAGAATACTTTCTCTCTGGCTCTGAAGAGTGGTCTGTAAGGGGGTCAAATATGTCCAATCCCTGCCTCCAACCCCTTCCCATGGCTTGAGGGACACTCCCAGGGTCAGCCTGACCCCGGGCCCCTGTCCCCCTTGGCCCACCTGGCGGACACTGAGTCTGTAGTTGAGCAGGGGGTCGACAGCATCGGGCTCCCTCTGGGTCCACTGCAGCACATAGGAGTAGTTCTTGGACAGCTTGTGGCTGCGGGTGGGGTTGGGGGTGTCGAAGTAAAACTCCGGGCTGTAGGCTTTGGCTGAGAGGGCGGGGAGGGGGGCGTGGGGCCGTGAAGGGTGGGGATGGGGGAGAGACACAGAGAGAGGAGGCACAGGAGAGGGAGACAGAAGAGGATGGTGAGGAACAGAGACAGGGTATGGGGAGACAAAGAGAAAGGGAATATAGTGAAGAGAGGAGATGGTGGGAGAGGAGGAGATTGGGGGAGTGAGGGTGGAGTAAGAGTGAAAGTGAGAAGTGGAGAAAAGGGAGATTGGGAATTCCAAGACGTGGTATTGGTGAGAACAGAGAGGAAAGGCCAAGGAAAAGCCAGAGAAAAGAGAAATTTGGGAAGACACAGAGGAGGGATATTAGAGAAGACACAGGGAAAGAGGATGGGGGAAAGACGCAAAGAAGGGTCAAGGATATTGAGGTGGAAGGAAGAGAAAGGAGAGGGATGGAGAGAGGCAAAAAGGTGGGAAGAGAGGGGAAGTGTGGGAGAACAGGGGAGAGGGGAAGGAGGTGGGAAATGTCATAGGGGCCTCTGGCTGGCAGGGCTGGGTGGGGTGGGGAAGGGCTGGGGAGTGACCTGTGGTCCTGGCCCCCTGCTTTTGAGTGAAGAGATCCACACAAGAGCTAAAGGGGCACGCGGTCAGTTGGGGGCTGCTGAGAGAGCTGGAGGTGCAGTAGAAGGGGACAGGCACACCTGGGGCTCTCCTCCAGGGGCGCTGCCACCAGCTCTGACAGGGAACCAGCTCTCCCTCAAAGAAGAGAAAGGGCATCAGAAACCCCTTCGGCCCCTATGCGTTCCCCTCAGCCTTCACCACGACCTCCACCCCTTTCTGAATCACCCATGCCCGCCTGCAGCCCCAAACAGCCCACCCAGGAATGACTTGATGACGAGATAGGCTGAGAGGGATTTCTGGGCACCAAGGGGCCTGAATCTCTGGGGTGACAGCTCAGGAAATGTGTGCTGGCTGGCCCAGAGCCACCCACGACGTTCCAGAGAAGCTGTTGAGGGTCGTCTTCTCTCCTCTTAGCTACAGCTCAGGCCCCTCTCATTGGGCCTGCAATTACGAAAAGAGGGGGTCCTCCGTCCTCAGCCTCTGGGGCCAAGGACGAAGGAGGAGGGGCTTGAAATGTGATGGCTGGGATGGGGCGGTGCCCAGGGCTTGAGTTGGAGGGTTTAAACCTGGTGTGGGCTGGGCTGGAGCGCACCAGCTACCAGGAAAGGAGGAAACAGAGAGCTGGGATTGGACGAGGCTGGAAGGGGTGGGGCCTATGCCTCGTAATTGGGGCCCAGGCGCGGTGTGGATGGGTCTTTAAAGAGAAGAGCCCATACCTGGTGCTCGCGGGGCTAGAAGGGCGAAGCCTAAGCCCGGGGAAGTAGGGGTTTGAAAGCGGCAGGGCTATCCGAGGCCAAGGAGAGGGAGGCTGAGCTAAAACGGGCGGGGCTTAGGGCACGTATAAGTGGGACTTGAGAAGTTCCTACACCTGGAGAGGGCGTGAGTGAAGCGGTGTAGCCTGTCTAGAGTGGCCCTAAAAGACGTCACGGTTTGGTCCGAGCGGAGTGGGCGGAGCTTAGACCTCGCATGGGAGGGTCTTGGAAAAGCAGGGACCTGAACTTAGTGTAGGGGGGCTGGAAAGGGGCGGGGCCCAGGCCGACTGTGGGCGGGGCTGGGGTTGGGGCGGAGCCTGGCCCCAGGTGGGCGCGGTTGGGGGCGGGACCCACGGGACGCTCACCCGAGACCTGAAAGAGGCAGGTAGCCGAGCCCACGTCGTTCGAGATGCTGCACTCGTAGCTGCCGCTGCTGTCGCGGGTGACGGCGTCGAGGCGCAGTTCGGAGTGGTCGGGAGCCTCGGGGGCGACGGGGACAGCGGGCGGCGGAGGCAGCAGCTGCCCTTTGAAGCGCCAGACGGCCGAGGCGATACGCTGGGGGCTGCCCCGCAGCAGCGAGCAGCGCAGCAGCACGGGCCGGCCCAGCGCTTGGCGCACATCCTGGGAGCTGGGCTCCACCTCCGGCGGGACTGGGGGCGGGGGCGGCGGTCAGCGGGGCCGGGTGGGGTTGGAGGAGCGGCCCCATCGGAGGCGACGCACTCGACCCTGCTCCCGCACCCCCCAGCCTGGAGGGATCTCAGAGTGGATACACACTCGTGACATACACAACAGCCGCGCTCATACCTCCCTGACCTGCAGATACCCACCCCATCCCGGCCCATTCCTCCAGCCATGCTTCCCAGACTGGGCCTCAAATGGTCCCCTCACACTCCTCTCCCCACGTAGTGAAAAGCAGCATAACATCGGAGCTCAGAGCAAAATCCCCAGAGCCAGATGCCTTAGGTTCAAATCTCAACCCTGCCTCAAACTAGCTGGTAAGACCTTAGAGAGTCAAAGAGGCTTAGCCAAAGTCAGCCAGCTCCTCGGTGCAAGGGGCTAAGGACTGGAGATGAGATTCTAGAGACTTTCTCCAAAATCATCCCCTCCAAACTCCTGTCATTCTTAAAATGTAAACCCTTATCACTAAGTAACTTAAGCAAGTTACTTATCCTGTGACTCGGTTTGTAAAAATAAGGAAATAATAGAGTCTGTGAAGGGTTAAATGAGTTCATGCATTAAAATGCTCTTAGAACAGTGCTTGGCACGAGGTGAGTTAACTCTCATCGTTATACTATCAGACACAGCGTGCTCCCTTGAAGGTCTTTCAAACTCCCATGTCTACCTGTTATGTTCTATCAGTTACTTCTTTGCTCACTGGGTCCCTGGGAATGAAGACGGGGGTGGGGGGGGCGGCACTTGATAATGGAAATGTGGCAAGAGTCACAGACCTCCCACCTTAGAACACAACATGGGGGTGGTAAGGTTTGGGGGATATGGGCAGTACGTGGAGGGGTTGGTTGGACTGGAGTGTATGAAGGGGTGGAGAGGGGGCAGGTCAGGCTGAGAACCGGGAGGGACAGCTCAGAAGGGAGGCCAGGTGGGGCGATGAGACTCACACTGCACGTTCAGCTGCACCTGGGCCTCGCGGGGGCGCACGTTGAAGCCATTATACCGAGCCGTCTGGCAGCGGTAGGTCCCACTCATGTCGCGGCTCACGTGCTCCAGCCGCAGCTTCCCGTCCGAGGTCTCCTCCAGGGGCAGCCCCGAGGGCAGCAGCGCAGCCTCCTTGTCCACGCGGGACCAGAGCACCGGCGGCCGCGGCTTGCCTCGAACCTCACACTGCAGCTCGGCGGGCGAGCCCTCCCGCACTGTGACCACGGCCCTGCCCTTGGGCACGCTGATGGTGGGAGGCACTGCGGTGGGGAGGCGGGCAGGAGCAGGGTTAGAGCTCCCGCCGGCCCCTGCTTTGGGGCTTGGGCTTCCCTCCCCCTAGGTTTGAGCCTCCCTTCCCCATCCCAGATGTCCCAAAGATCCCTCAGTATTTCCAAAACACAGCTCACCTCCCCCCAATTCTCTCTACCTTCTGGGGTCTCTACCTCAGGGTCTCCCAACTCAGAAAGAGATCTGAAGTCGTCCCGGCCTATTCCTTCTTTCCCTTTAGCCCAAGGAAAGGGGGTTCCACCTTGTAAACAGTTCTACCCAATGACCTCCTCTCCCAACCCCCTCTCTCCTGCCCACTGACCCCGATCTAGGACAGTTAAAGCTTCCATCTTGCCTTCTGGAGTGTTACCACAACATCTTGCCTTCTGGAGTGTTATCCCAGATCGCTAGTCTGTCCCTCAACATGCTCACCCTTTCTTCCAAGGTAATAGGATATCTGGAGTTTAGCAGGGCACACAGCCAGAACAACCATTATGTCTCCCAGCCTGTCTTAGCGCTAGCTAGCTGTGAGCATGTGACTAAATTCTGGCCAGTGGGATGTGACAGGAAATAAGGGTCTTTAAAAGGCGAGGCTGTGCCCCTCTTCTCCTCCTCCTTCCTGCCGGCTGGAATGCAGACTGATGGCTGCAGCTGGAACTGCCATTGTGGACAAGGTGGCCCACACTAGGGATAACAGAATAGCAAGACAAGATGGAGCCTGGGGCCCTGAGGACTTGGTGGAGCTGAGCCATTATTCCAGCCTGGACTGCTCACTTTTATGAGAAAAAAAAAAAAATACACATCTAGCTCATTTAAGCCACTAGTAGTATTTTGGGATTTTCTGTTACACACAGCCAAACCTAATCCAACCCAACACATCGCCCAGCTGGAGGGTCTTCTAAGACTTCCATGGGTCCCATCCCACATCCCATCAAACAAATTAAAATGTCCTACATTAAATATAAATTATAAATAACTCCACAAGGCAAGCTGAGGTCCAGTTATCTAGTTAGGATCATTCATACTGTAAACATTTATACAAATGCCTTGGCTTTAATTTTACAGTTTTCTCTTTGTATTTTGCAGCCAATTAATTTGTTTTTCCAGGTCTAAATTATTTCCACAGGCCCTTAAAAAGCTTCCATGCCCTAGGCATCAGGCTAATGAGCCAAACTGAGGAAATGGCCCAGTGCCCCGTTGATTTCCCTCTTTCCAAAACGTCCCAGCTCCCAACCTTTCTCTGCCCCCACAGGTTAAAGGGCTGTCTCCTTCCTTTGAGGCTGCACTGCCCTCAGGTTAAAGCTCCAGTTCCTTGGCTCTACAAACAAGACCCTCGTGCTCCAGCCTCTGCCACTCCCCAGCCTCATCTTCCCTCTCCCATCCTGTGTCCCAGCTATGGGATCCACTTATACGGCTTGTAAGGGACACACTCCCTGGCTACGAAGTCTTTTCCCTGTGCAGAAGTCAGGATGGAAGGGGCCTCTGAGGCCATCTGGTTCACTGTCTCACAGAGGAGAAACTGAGGCCCAGAGAGTCAAAGAGGCTTAGCCAAAGTCAGCCAGCTCCTCGGTGCAAGGGGCTAAGGACTGGAGATGAGATTCTAGAGACTCTCTCCAAAATCATCCCCTCCAAACTCCTGTCATTCTTAAAATGTAAACCTTTCAGGGGTGGCTCTACAGACTGCCTGGGTTCGAATCCCAGCTACACCACTTACTGTTTGTTAACTTAGGTGAGTTTCTTAAACTCTCTGAGCCTGTTTCTTCATCTCTAAACACTGATGATAAACTACCCCATAAGGTAAACCATGAAGGTGAATGAGCTAAATATGAAATCATCAGAACACAGAGTAAACACTCAATAAATGTTAGTCATTATCTCATTGTTATTTATTATTATTGGAATAAAGACCCAAATCCCTGCATAATCTGGCCCCCGCTGACCCCTCTGCTCTCTCCCATTTCACGCCATTCTCCCAGCTGCACTTTCCTCCTTTCAAAAGTGCTCCAAATGGCCCACGCACTTACCTGCCACAGGGCCTTTGCACATGCTGCTTCTTTGGCCTCCCTTTTCTTCCACCCTCCCTTGCTCTCTTTTGCCTAGCAAAATCCTGCCCCTCCCTTAGATCTCAGATCAAACATTCTATCTTAGGAAACTCTTTCCCGACTCTCATGCATCAGAGTTTGCAGTGATATATTTGTGAGACTATCTGAAAAATGTTTGCCTTCCTGCTTCGTTCAATGCCAGGAGAGCTCATTTTGCCCACTGCTCTTCCCCAGAGCCTAGCACAATGCCTGGCATACAACAGATGCTTCATAAATGGGTATGGAACACAGAGGAAACACAAATTGTGTTCCCCTCACTCTGGTCTCCTTTCCCATAAGCTACTGTGCCCACCTCCCCTCTGTGGGCCTCTCCAGTTTCCTCACACACACACACACACCCACGCCACTTCAGCTGCCCACCTGTCTCAGAGGAGATGTTGACCTCGACGCTGAGGTCAGGCACAGGTGCTCCTGGGAAGGAAGCCACGCACAGGTAGGTGCCATAGTCGCTGAAGTGCAGGTCAATGAGCTCTAGGCTGCTCGTGACGGCAGGCAACTCGGGGTCATTTCGGGTCACCAGCAGCCTCTTGGACATGCGTGCCGGCTTGCCGTTCTTGAACCACTGGTAAGTCACCTTCTCCTGGGGTACTGCATCCACATGGCACGACAGCTTCAGGTCCTGGCCCAGCTGTATGTTCTCACTCTCTTTGATCACATCTGGGGTGATCTGGAACGTAGCGTTCTTCATGGCTATGGGTGGACGGGGAGGGAGAGGAGGCTGGGGCTGGCCCAAAGCCAAGGGTCTATGTCCCTCCCACCCCCATCCGGACCCAGCTTCTCTCCTTGAACTGGCCTTCCCACACCACCACCACCCCCAAGAGAAACCATCACTTTGCTTGGAAATCGTTCTGCTTGCTCAGATGCATTTTTAAAAATCCAAAAAAGCTGGCTGTAGGAAAGTGGGTTTAGGAATTGTTATAGCCACTGTTGGCTGAACGTCCATTATGTGAGAGGCACCATTCCAAGTGCTTGACATGGGTTTACTCATCTCACCCAACCCACAATCTTGGAGTGAGGCACTTTGCTGTCCCCATTTTACAAAGGAGAGAACTGAGGCTCAGACAGCTTAACTAACTTGCCCAAAGAAATAGCCAACCTTGAATTCAGACTCAGCCTACACTCTTAAAGGCTGCACTGCTTTATTTTTATTCTTGTTTTAAACCTTGAATATGCAAAGTACAATTTTTGGAAAGAGGCACCAGAATGTATTAATGCTTCTGTCTAGAGAGTGGGGCTGAGGGGAAATTTTATCCTTTTGTACTGTTTGCTTCTTTGCAACAAGTTTGTGCAATTTTAATAATAAAAGCCTAATACAATTATTTTACATGAAATTACATAAAACACAGTTTAAAAAAAAAGGGTCTAGCCTCTTTGAAAAATCTGAATATTGTCTGACATAGCCAAGAGTTAGACAGAATTTTTCTTCTTCTTTTTTTAAGTAGGCTCCACATCTAGCATGGAGCCCAAAGCAGGGCTTGAACTCATGACCCTGAGATCAAGACCTGAGCTGAAATCAAGAGTTGGACACTTAACTGACTGAGCCATCCAGGTGCCCCTAGACAGAATTCTCAATAGTGGGTGCTAATTCGACAGGTCCCTGGTACAACGACCATGAACTAGGACTGGACTGGGCAGAGCAGGCTGGACATCACCCCAAGAGGCGACCGTAAGTATTTGATGTAAACTGCAATCTCAGGAACCTAGGTTTTAAAGGCCAAATGGAATTAGGTGGAAAAAAGTAATCTGACAAGAAAAGTACCATCAAAGGAAAAAGTAGTCATCAGCAACAATCTTGCTACTGTCTTTCTTGCTCTGATTAAGTAAAAACTCACCGAGAGCTAGCTTCTTTTTGGGATGAGGGAAGAACAAAAAGGAGAGACCATTTCATCAGAAGACTCTCCACTGGATTTGACAGAAGCTATACTTTATTTTCAAGGGCTAAAGAGCTGCAAACAAGCCTGGATCTTTAAAATTCTCAAATAAATAACCAACAGCCAAACAACAACCTAAAGTTACTTCTAAGCCAGAAGAATTTTAAGTTTTCTCTTTAGGGGCACCTGGCTGGCTCAGTCAATAGAGCATGTGACTGTTGATCTCAGGGTCGTGAGTTCGAGCCCCATGTTGGGTAAAGAGATTACTTAAATAAATAAAACTTAAAAAAAAAAAAAAACTTTCTCCTTCAAGCACAGTAGCAAAATCAAGATCATACTGAGAAGCTAATGGGGCTGAGGTTTAGTAAGTAGGGTGTTTATACTTCTTTAATCGTGCCCCAAGTTTTGTATCATTTTTACATTTAGTAATTACCTTCAGACTCACTGACACACTTTGCTAATAAAGATTTGCATATGAGGTATGTACAAATCCATGTTATTTTCATTTTAATTCTGTAGAATTAAATGTAGAAACCATTGTATGGGAAGAGTCAGGAATTTTCTCTTAAAGACTGGAATGTCCACATTTAGCTTTTGGCAGCCTCAGTTTCCCAATCTAAGAAAAATGTCAGTAATTGGGGTGCCTGGGTGGCTCAGTCAGTTAAGCGTCTGCCTTTGGCTCAGGTCGTGATCCCAGGGTCTTGGGATCGAGTCCCGCATCGGGCTCCCTGCTCAGCGAGGAGTCTGCTTCTCCCTCTCCCTCTCCCTCTGCCTCTCTCTCTCATGAATCAATAAAATCTTAAAAAAATATATAGGAAATCAACGCCAGCCCTTCCCACTTCTTCCACTGTCAAGATGACATTTGGAAATGTAGATTATAAATAAAACTTTATACAAATTGTAGTCCAGCCGCTGGCAGACAGATAAAAGGAAGCAGACAGGCTCCTTTCCCAGTTCCCCGGCGGTTCCTGGAGGGCAGGGCCCCCGCCCGCCTTCCGAGTTCCCTCCCGCTCTCCGGACACACGTACATCGCACCAGCAGGTTGACCGTCTTCTTGGCAGGGTTGCCCACGTTGTTGGTGGCCGTGCAGTTGTAGTAGCCAGAGTCCTGGGCCTGCACTGAAGGGATGCTGAGGGTGCCACTCCGGGCCACAGCACCCAGGGGCAGCGGGCCCGGCCCGTGGGACCACTGCAGCTGGGGTAAGGGATCGCCGCCTGCCAGCAGACACTGTACCGTCACATTCTCCCCCGGGTTGACCACCAGAGTTTCATTCACAGACAGCTTCAGGGCTGGTGGTGCTATGAGGACAAGGAAGTGGGGTCTTAGGGGACCGTGAGGCAGCGCTGGGGGAGCTGAGGGGGGAGGAGAAGCCATTGGGGAAGGGCTGGAGGGAGAGGGTAGGGAGCAGGCGGGGGGCGGGGTGGAGACACGCTCACGGGGAGGGGCCTAGAGTCCTGTGTGGGGCGGGGCGCTGTCTCCTAGCTGGGGAGTCAGCCCCAGGTGGGCGGGGGGGGGGGGGGAACGGGCAGGGAAGGCCTGTACCCGTGGTGTTGGTGAGCCGGAAGGTGATGGCCTTGTCCGGGATGCCGCACACGTTGCGTACAGACACCTGGCAGGTGTAGCTGGCATAGTCCTGGGGCCGCAGGTTCTTCAGCTTCAGGACCTTGGTCTCCCCCTAGGCAGCGGCAGAGCACTGGGGTGAGGGGCCTGCTTGGGTCTCTAGGGATCCCACCCACATTCACCCAGCACCGGAGGCGGAAGCAAATTCCTACTTAAATTTCTATCTTTCCAACCTCCACACCGTTTAGCCTCAGGGAGCCGGAGCCTGGGGTGGATACTGTGGTCTCCATACCTTGGGCTTCTCTGCATCTGGTGCTGTCCTGGGGCACACCGGCCGGGACAGCCTCAGTTTTCCCACTCTGGGAAATGGACGGTAAGGAAGGACTCCTGCTCTGTCTTACAACCCATACAAACATGGGGCTGGCCCACAGGCCATGGCCTCATGTGGAGCTTTGCCACCTAGGATAGCCACCTCTGAAAGATGCTCCTGGTAGGACAGCTGCATCACCACCGTCCGGGACTGTAGGGGTCCCATGGGAAGTGCAGTCATCTTTCTGCCCCCGACTGCTACCGCGCCTGCCCAAGAGTTCCCAATACTCTGCCAGCCAGCAGCACGCAGGGATGACATGCCTGCCCCTGGAGGGTGCCTTTCCTAACAAGCAATGTCCCCGGAGGACTGGTGCCTGGGGGACTCTCCTGTCCTCCCTGACCTTTCTGTCCTGATTTCATTTGGCAAGGGTTGTCTGAAGCCCAATCAGAATGCATGCTTCTGATGTCAGAACAGAATTACTGGAGTCAGGGCATCGTCCCTGGAACACAGGATCACAAGGCCTCGGTCTCTGCGTCCCCCTCCCTTGCTGGGTGCAGAAGGAAGAGTGTGGGGCAAGCCATGAGGAGACCAGGCCGGCTGCTGTCCATCCTGACCTGGGTGTAGAGGGGCTCATAGATGTCGACCCCATTGTCCTGGCTGTGAGACAGGGTGTCGGAGCCCCGCTTCCAGATGAAGCGGGCAGGCGGGTTGGAGTTGACAGTACAGCGCAGGAACACTGTCTTCTCCTGGTAGAAATTGCCTCGAACATCGCTCACCGTCTGGTGCACCGTCAGCATGGGCTCGTCCAGGTCTGCAAGGACACAGCCCCAGTGGAGTCAGGGCCAGCTGACCCCAAGCTGGGGGGCTGGGTTTTCTGGCAGCCCGCAGGGAAAGCTAAGCCACCCTCAAGGGATGCTTCCAGAGAGCCAGATGCTCTCCCAGCCCACAAGCTTGACCACCCATTAGAGTCAGGGGAATGGGCTTAACGGCTTCCCAGCTGTCCCTCCCCCCGGCCCTGCATGCAGGTGTCTATCTTCACCCTCCCATCATGGGATGGAGGAAGCAGCCGCAGACTGGAAATCAGGACACTGGTTCAAATCCCAGGTTAGCTGTTAATTTGCAGTGTGACCTGCCTAAGTCCCTTCTCTCTCTGGGCTTGTTTCCTCGCTGGTAAATTGGACTAGATTGGTGGTTCTCACCTCTGTTTGCATGACAGAATCACATGGAGACTTTCTTTGTAATACCACTGCCTGGCAGAACTTATTGATGGTGTCAGAAGTAGGAAGAATGATTGCCTCTAAGGAGATTATTGACTGGGAGGGAGCATGAGGGAACTTTCTGGTCCTGGAAATGCTCTTGAACTGGATGGTGTTTACACATGCATAGACATAAGAATTCACTGAACTGTACATTTAAGATTAGTGTACTCTATCGGATGTAGCTTAATCCTCAATTTAAAAAAAAGAGTTTAAGAAAAATCCTGATGCCGGGGCCCCACGCCCAATTATCAGAATCTCTGGAAGTGGAACCCAGGCATCAGTAGTTGCTTCTAAAGACCCCTCTAGACATTCTAATGGGCAGCCAGTGTTGTGAACCAAAGGCACCCACATTCCACAGCCTAACATCCTTCGACAAGTGTCCCATCATTCTGTCCTCACACAGCCCACTTGGACAGAAGTCATAACAAAGACCAGAGGTGGAGGTAGGGCATTGGTAACACCCGGGCCATGTCTGCCACCCCCTTCCAGCACCAGTAAATCAAGAAATGACCCTCAGCCCCAGGATTTGGCAGGCCTGTGGTTGACTGAAAGGGGACAGAAGGGTCTGAGGTTCCATTGCTCACCACTTGGGGGTCTCACTTGGGTGGGGGTGCATGGGCATATTTAATGGGTAGGTTCATTGTAGACATTAAGATGGTGCCAGACAGGCCCCTTGGCTTGGCCCTACGGCTTCTGGGTAACTAGGATCAGCCTGGGCAAGCAGTGAAATAGCCTCTTGGGGCTAAGGGGGGTATCTCTATGGCGGGCAGGTAGGGACTAGGGGCTTCCCATTCAACCAGCAGCCAGGACTGAGGGGTGCTTGGTCCTGTAAGTGGTGGGAGTAGGGAAGTTTCAGAGAGGCCCCTGGGGCAAAAGCAGAGACATGAGGTACTATGGGAAGGGCACCAGAGCAGAGTCCAGAGAACCTTTGCAGGTGAACAAGTCACAACCCCCCAGTACCTCAATTTCATCTGTGAAAAAAGTATAATTCAACCTGTCCCACCCTCCCTGATTACTTGAGAGGGCTGTTGCAAGGTACGTATGGATTAGGGAGGGAAACGCGTGAAGGGTATAGGGTGAGACACACTGGAGGAACAGCAGGTAAACCCCTTCAGTCCGGAAGAGATGAAGCCTCTACTGTGCTCTTCCACGGAGGTGTCGCTTCTCCAGCCTCCTTTCCACCCCCCTCCTCCCGCCGAGCCTGAGGGCCCGGGGGCACCCCCGGCCGAGACTCACACTGCACGTCCACGCGGATAGACTTGATGGCGGGCACGCCCACGCCGTTCTCCGCCTTGCAGTAGTAGCGGCCGCCCTGCGTGCGCGCGATGCGCTCGATGCGCAGCGTCTCGTTGAACACCGATGTCTCCTGGAACTTGTCTGAGGCGCTGCCCGCAGTCTTGGTCCAGCGCACCTGGGCCCGCGGGGTGGGCCGAGTGAGCCGCGGCAGTGCGGGGGTGGGGGTGGGGGGTAGGGTTCCGGGCTGAAGGCCAGGCGACCGTGCCTTCCCTCCCCCCGGCCCCCACTGTTTTTCCTGAGTGCCCGTGGGGACCACCCTGGCCTGGGAAACTACTTCCCCCAGGGGAATACACAGATGGGGCAGGGTGCCTCGGGAAAGAATCCGGGGAATCTGGGGTCAGAGGGAGGAGGCTTTAAAGAAGGCAGGATAGTGCAGTGGTTAAGAGGCAAGTTGGATTGGGGCAAGTTATCCCACCTTTCCTGCCTTCCTTTCCTCATTGGGAAAATGGAGAATATCCCACCTAGGCTTCCTGGGAGGATTAAATGTGCCTTAGTGCCTGTAAGACTAAGAATTTGATAAAGTTTTTAGTGGCCTTGGGCAGGTTACTCCTCTCTCACTTCAGATTTTTCATCTGTGGAAGAGGTCTATGGGGTAGACTCCAAGATGGTCCCCAGCGATCCCAGCCTCTAGTCCTTTTTTCTGGGGTGCCCTCCCACTTTGTACCGGGATGGGCTGTATGACCAATATAACACAGTGGGCATGATGGTATGTCACTTCCAAGATCAGGTTATGAAGGACTGTGATTTCCATCTTGGGGAAAGCCATCTGGCTTGTCATGAGCAGCCCTCCGGAGGGAGGGGTCCACAGGGGAAGAAGGGAAACCTCAGGTGAACAGCCACAGGAGGTAGCCTGCAAGTGGGTCCTCCCACCCCAGTCAGTTCTCAAATGGCTGCAGCCTCCTGAGAGACCACGGGCCAGAACCAGCCAGCTAAGCTGCTCCTGGATTCTGGTCCCACAGGAACGGTGAGGCAATACGTGTTTGTTGTTTTGAGTTGCTGAGTTTTAGAGCATTTGTTACGCAGCAGTAGATAACTATAACTATGACATAGCACAATTTCTGCTTTGCAGAGGTTTAGAAACAAAGTGTATAAAGCACCTAAATGTAGCCCCCAGTATATATTACTCACTCAATGAATTTCCATTGTTATCAACATTGCCCTAGATGTGGGGAGCTAGCAAGAATCACACAAGACACTGGAGCTACTACTCAGAGTAGCAGAGGTTTAAGAAAAATTGGTCAGTTCCAGATGATTAAGTCTTAAGGACTGGAGGATGGGGTAGGGAAGCTTCCAACTTAAAGTTGGGTAGGGTTGCTTATTACTGAGACAGGGCAAGGCCCCTGATCCCGGCGAAGAGGTCAGGCTGTAGGCCATGAAAACAACAAGCTGGGGAGAAGTGGGTGAAGGGCAGCTTTCTCATGCAGAGAGCAGCCACTCCAGGGTTTGTACTTTTCTTCAATTCTACAAAATTCTCAGCCTTTATCTCTTTAAATGTTGTCTTCTCTCAGTTTTCTCTAGTCTGCCCTAAGTTTATGTTGTAGCTTGTCATTCTATCCTCCATGTCTCCCAACTTCCTTTTCACAATTCCCATCTCTTTGTCTTCTCCGGGCTGCTTTGTAGTTGATTTCCTCGGATCTATCATCCAATTAGCTAATTTTCTCTTTAGCTATCTCTATGGTATTGAGGCCAAATTTTTCAAAAGACCGTATTATTTTTATTTCTAGGATTTCTATTTGGTTTCTTCCCCCCGTATCTAACTGATCAGGTTGTATAATCTTTTGTTATCTCTTTAAACACTTTAAACATATTTATTCTCAAGATCCTTTCAGATGGCTCTGTTTACTCTGTTTCCTCAGATATGACTTGTTCAATTCTTTGAGTCTCTGGACTGGCCCTGCTGGCACTGTATTTTTAAATGTGTTTTAAAATTTTACTCCACAGGCCTGTAGTCCATGGGAGTTTTCTTCCACAGAAATTCCACATGGGCCCTCACATGCCTGTCTGTGGTGTAGCTCTGTGGTTGCCTATGCCCAAGACCCATGGGTTCACAGGTTCCAACTAGTTTTTATATTAGTTTCTCAGCTTTGGGTGTCCTCACCACTTGGACAGTGTAAGAAACAGACAGCCCAAGGGGTCTGCTCCTTTAGAGGCGACCATTTGTTTATACGCCCTGAAGCAGAGTCTGCTCCCTGCTGTGACTCTGGGCTGTGGGACAGAGAGCTTCTGGTCCCCATTCACAGGGGGTGCCCTTGTCAAGCTTCCTTCTTTAGGTAGAGAGTCTAAGTCTAGCCTCCAACCATAGATGGACCTGGGGCCTCAGCTCATACCCCCTGTGCGTGTATTCATACTATTATCCCTGAGGTGAGTATGTAGTTCAAGCCCCTCCAAGGACCATGTTCTTCACCTTCTGCTCACTGCCATTGCTCCAGATTCTTTCTTCATTTTGGCCCTTGAGATTCCCACTCTCTTGCTATTTGTTTGGAGTGGGGAATTCCACGCCCATTCCATCCCCCATCCTGACCTCAAAGTGGGCCTTGAGGTGCTCCTTCCCTGTTCTCCTGCTAGATTGGATGCTCCATGACAACGGGAACTATATCTTCACAGTGCTGGGCACATAGCAGGTGCTCAATAAATACGTGTTTAATGAAATGAGCAAACAAGGAGGTAGACACATTTCAGGAGAGGTGAGCAGCAGTGGCTGACACAGGAATGAACAGGGTGTACTTGGGCACGTGTGACTAGAGCACAGTATGGGTATGAGGAGGATCGCAGTGGAGGTCAGACAGGAAAGGCAGGTGGGGCCAGACTGGGGTGGGGGGTGGTCTTCCCTTCCACCCCTAGCAGCCTGAACTGGGTCTGGTAGTTAATAGGTAAACCACTGAAGGTTTCTGAGCAGGGGAGTGCTATGATAGAGCAGGTTTGAAGATTACAATTCTGGGAGCTGGGTACAGAAGCGAATTGGAGGGGGAAGCATGGAGGGGGGCCAGTTAGCCTACTGCAGTGGTCCAAGGGCTAGGATTGCAGGTCTGACCTCCAGAGGTAATGAGGAATAGAAACAAAGACCCATGCAAGAGACATAAAAACAGAAGCCACAGAGGCTGGCTAGATGTGGGGAATGAGATGGCACAGAGCCATACTGTAGCCCAAGGGTTTGAGCCTAGGTAGCAGGAAGAACAATGACATTGTGGATGGAAGTATAAAAAAGAGTGTGTGCGCACACACACTGAGCCCCAGCCATAAACCACTCATGAATGCAATGCACAAAGGGACACACACGGGTGGCCAGTGCAGCCTGAGGGAGAGATGGCCCAGTGGCCTCCCTGGCCAGGGAGGACCATCCTGACGTCACGCCCGATGCAAACAGCAACCTGAAGCCTGGCAGCATCACTATCACTCTGAAGCAAAACTTTGAGAAGAAGCAAGCGGTGATGATGGTTTCAGGTTGAGTCCTCAGGGGTTTCCTTGTCCCTTTGCTTATCTCCAGGCCAAACCTACCAAAGCCATCTCTGTGCCCAAAATTATCCCCCAAATGCTTCTGCATTTCATTGCCCTCCCTAGGAGCCAATGAAAAGTTTTCTGCGGCTCTTAAATGCCACAGCGGCTCGCCAGCAAATTCCAGCCACCCCTCCAGCCCGCCTCCTGCCTCTTCCCATCAGCTTCAGTGATCACTGGACAACCCTTCTGACTAAACCACATACTTGGTCCGTGACAAAAACATACCTGGCATTTCCAGGTACTCCTCTTCTGTTGCTTTCTAACTGCTTTCAGTCTTTTAACCTCAGGGTGTGGGGCTTGCCTACCTGAAGCCTCCTGAAGAGGCTCCCGGAACCCCCCAACCCAAAGACGGACACACTGGGGGGAAGTGTGCTAAGCGACAGAGAACACTGGCTCTGGATTCAAATTCTGCTTCCACGCTCCCAGGAGCTGTGCGATCTTGGGGGTTCACTCGACCTCCCCAAGCTTTGATTTCCTCAGCTGTGTACCAGAAGCCCTCATGTCTCCCCCACAGCCTGGTTGTGAGGCTCCAGAGAGAAGACGCTGGAGGAAGCGCCAACACGGTGTTGGCGGGTGAGGTCTGCCCTCAGACTGAGGGGGAAGGCGCATCTGAGGAAGCGTCTGCCCAGCAGATACAACAGGAATGAAGTGGAATTGAACAACTGCCATTTAATCTGTCCCCTCAGTCATCCCGTGTTTTCAGGAGAATAAGCTCACGGCCTCCAGCCCTGCCCCACAGAGTTCATTTTCGAGCTCTCTCCCCGCCCCAGTCTTCTGTCTTGTGTTGGCTTGCCAACTTCGTGCGCCTCTTATTCCCAGCTCCCACTGCCTCTTTGGCAGCTCTGATCCCAGGGCGGGGTGGGGAGTGAGAAGCCAAGGCCGTGGGCGGGGGGGGGTGCTTACCTGGGGCCGAGGATGCCCCGTGACAAGGCACTGCAGCACAAGAGTGTCCCCCTCCCGGATGGTGTAGACACGCTCGCTGATGTTGTCCTCCTTCACCACACATGCCTGGCCGGCGTGGACAATCTGAGCCTGAGCAGGAGCTGGGGGTGGCGAGGGGGGGGTGGAGACACAGGTTTAGGCAAGAGGCACCAAGGCCAGAGGGGGTCTAAGGCTCCCTCCTCTGAGTACGTAAGTGGGAGGAGGAGGAAGCCCAGACCTCCCCAGGCCACTCCTCAGAGGCCTGACCTGCTGAGCTCTGGAAAGGACACTCCCAGGGCCCCAGGCCAGAACCAGAAAGGTCAAGGACTCAGGATGGGGGCAGTTCCTCCTCATCCCACTCTCCTTTCAGGAGATCTGTGCTCTCAGTGAGCTGATGAGCATGAGGGGCTCGGTGGGTATCTATACCGATTGGTTATCACTCAGTGAGTATCACTGTCTCAGCAGGCCCTGTAGTGGAAGCTGCCGGTGCTCCCCACAGCTCCCTATACCTGGCGGGGGCATCCACCCCCCAGCTGCTGAGTGTTAGCTGCTAGGTGCACAGAGCTCCCCTTCCCCTGGGAATTGCCCTTTGCCATGGAGCTGCCTGGGCCAGAAATGCCCACAAGATCACCCCTTTCCCCAGTACGCACACACGGAGCCCAGTGACTGACAGCTACACCCCGCCCCCCACCAACCCCGCTGGTGGGATGACTATGGTGCCATTTACTCTCCAGAATCCCCTTGGGAGCTAAAGCAACTGAACCACGTTTTTGCCTGGCTGCTTCCCCTTCCAGTGTCTCCTGAGAGCACTTTCTCACAAATCCCATGCCTGACCTGCACCCTCTCAACCATCCCAGGCTTTACTTGTAGAGAGCTTGACTAAGATATCTCCCAGTCCCACAGACTGCTCATTCCCCTCACCCAAAGGCCTGTTACTCTTCCCTCATTGCTCCCTGAGCCTGGGCCAACCTCTTTAAGGGATGGAAGCTCTCTCCAGGGGCCTGGAAGCTCTCAAAAGACTGGCTCCTCCCTGGCCTTTCTCACAGTGACCAGGGCCAGGGGACCACAGCTGTGACACCCAAAGGGAAGATGAATGACTGGGAGAAGTACACAGCCCCTCCCTAAGTGTCCAGCCCCCAGCCCAGCACTGTTTGGGCTCTGAAAAGGAGGGCAAGGCCCCCGAGTTCATACCTGTCTGTTCACAGCTGAGGGTGGAGAAAGTGGAGGTGGGCACCAGGGGCACAAGGGGCTGAAAACAGAGTCCTTGCCCCAAAGAGGTGCACAAAGATGAGGTAAAACCTGTACATAAAATGTGTAACTTCCTCCAGGAAGCATCCCCTGACTGACCGGCGCCCTCCCTCCTTCTGTACCCATCACTCCCCCAGTGAGCATCATTGCAGAGCATCATTCTGCCTGTCTGCCAGATCCAGGGCTCTTGTCCTTCTGTCTACCAAACCATGAGTTCCATCTTGTTATCCCCAGCACAAGCCTTGAATACAGTGGGCACTCAGTGAACGTTGAATGGATGAATTTACAAGACTATCCCATGATGATGTCGCTAAGCATCTTAAAAGAGATACAGAAGGCCCTAGGAGATCAGAGGAGAGAGAGAGTCTGCTAGAGGAAGGATCACAGAAGGTTCTAGAAGAGGCAGCTTTCTCACCAGGCCTCAGAGAATAGGGGAGATTTTTGCTGGGTGAAGGAGAAAGTCCTATATAATATATATTACCTGGAGTAAACCATGAGTGATCTTTGGACTTTTCTTTTTTTTTCTTTTAAAGATTTTATTTATTTATTTGAGAGACAGAGAGACTGAGAGACAGAGAGCAGGAGAGGGAGGAGGGTCAGAGGGAGAAGCAGACTCCCCGCCGAGCAGAGAGCCCGACGCGGGACTCGATCCCGGGACTCCAGGATCATGACCTGAGCCGAAGGCAGTCGCTTAACCAACTGAGCTACCCAGGCGCCCCTGGACCTTTATTTTCTCATCTCTAAAACAGAGAGAATGCTGCCAGCCCTGAGAACTCACGAGGGTGGGTGTGACAGTGACACAGGCTAGATGAGACGTGCTTAGTAAACCCTGATGTGTCCTGCAGGTACCACAAGTAGTACCTTACTGGAGCCTCTCCAACCAACACAGATGGGACAGTCATGAACTAATTACAGAGGTGGGTCCCCAGAGGTAGCCCAGCTGTAGGTCAAAAAGCCTGTGGGGCAGCGACTGGGGGCAACACATGTTGAACCGCGAGAGTCTCTGCAAACAGTAACAGCTACCAGCAGCCTAGAGTCTGAGTGTCCAGACAACCATCCTGCCTGCCTGGCTGCCATAGAGGAATGAACTGAGGCTAGTTGTCAGAGACAAGCTATGCAACCTTGGGCAAGTCAGACCTCATGGGCCTCAGTTTCCCCTCCTATAGCGGGGGAGTGGATTAGAAGACCTCTGAGATCCTTCTCAACTCACACTTTCTATACATTTGTAATCAGCGTGTAGTCCATATATAAGATGCACCCTGGAATCCGGGGAATGGGTCTGAAACTCACACTCTGCGACGAAAATGCATGAACATCACCATACCATGGCAGAGAGTCATCTGTGGCCAAGGACCCCAGGAAATCTCATCAGGAAACAACCCCCGCCATGCATGATGTGCATGCCAGTTGCTGATAAGACCAGAAGGTCCCATCGATGTCTACAAGAGGCCTGGGGTGCCTCTCCACAAGGAAGACATTGATAGAACAGGCTCCAGTGGAAGATAAGCTGTAATCTTGGACACTGTGGCTTGCCTGTAGCCAAATAGTGTTATAACCACAGAAGGTTCTGTGACTGATAAGGAATACTGAAAAGGAGCTGGAGAGCCTGACATTCTCAGGGTCTGGCCAGCAGAGGCCAGAAAACACAGGACCTGGCCAGCAGACAAAAGGCCTCTGGCCACCAGCCACGTTTCCTCACTGGAGACCGGGCATCATGAATGATGACATCATTAAGATGATCTAACTCCCTTTGATGACATTAACTCTTAAGAGTATCAAACTCTAAAATGATAGAACCACTGTGGAAGAGATTTTAGCAGTACCTACTCGAGCTAGACGAGGGTATGGTTCATGACACAGCAATTCCATTCCTGGGTAGTACCCAGTGGAAATGAGTGCTTATGACAACAAAACAATAGGTCTAAGAATATTCATAGCAGCTTTATTCATTATGGCTAAAAACGAGGACCACCCATATGTCCATCAAGACTAGCATGGATAAATAAATTCTGGTATATTCATATAATGGAATATTACACAAAAATAAAAAATAAAATAAAAAGAACTCCTAATAGATACAATGGCACTGTTGAATCTCACATGGACAATCTGGGTGGAAGAACTCAGACACCAAAGAGTAAATAGTATATGATTTCATGTGTCTGAAATTCAAAACTGGAAAAACCGATTTTAAAGTAACAGTGGTTGCCCTTGGGTGGGGATACGGATTATTTACTGGGAAGGGCACACCAGAAGTTTCTGGGGAGAAGGTGGGATCCCATCTGGTACGGTGGAAATGTCTACATCTTAATCTGAGTGGTAGTTATATGAGTGGACATACATGTAAAAATCCATCGGGTTATTTGCTTAAGATTTGGCTATACCTAAGTTACACTTCAATTTTTAAAAATTGCCCATTGAGGTTATCAGGTTTCTTTGGTTGACACTAACCATTACAACTACCTACTCCCTTTACTCTGATTCCTATTTGATTTTCTGCTTCCCACGGCTGACTTCTTCGAGATGTAGATTTTCCCTCTGGAGCAAAGGGAAAATGCCCGTGGCTTCCCACTGAGCTTCGTTAACATGAATCAGCCTCCCCCACTCTGCTCACCCCTGGAATGGCTAGAACTGTGTTTCGGACCCTGAACCAACAGAGTCCCCACCAAGTCGCAGGCCCCCAAAGGCTCTGCCTCACTTAACCTCAGCCTCTTGTTCCACGCGCCCTGGGAAGGCAAGGCCCGCAGCAGCATCTTCTGTTCCAAAGGCAACCAGGCAAGGACCTGTGTCAAGAGGCAGCATGACATCATAATCCCTTCATTCAGTCTGTCAAACAACAAATGCCTCGAGCCGGCCGCTCTGCGTGGGTGCCGGAGATCATCAGGAAAAGCAAACAACAAAGGAGCACTGTTGGGGAGATGGATAGCAAACAAGGGAACAGAAATGAACAGGATGGCTTCAGAGTGCTCTAAGTGCTAAGACTACTCTAGAGCAGGGGATTCGTCAAGGAACAGCAAACAGAGGAGAGAGATGCCTTAGAGAAACGGGAAAAGCAGACAATCTGGGCCTAATGCCTGGCTCTGCTACCCACTAGCTGGGAGATGTTAGGCAAGTTACTTAACTTCTCTGAGCCTCAGCCTCTTCCTTCATAAAATGGGAACAGTAATGCCTTCTCCCGGGGCTGGCATGAGGGTTTAAGACAACATCTATAAAACATCTGGCCAGGGGCGCCTGGGTGGCTCAGTCGTTAAGCGTCTGCCTTCGGCTCAGGTCATGATCCCAGAGTCCTGGGATCAAGCCCTGCATCGGGCTCCCTGCTCTGCGGGAAGCCTGCTTCTCCCTCTCCCATTCCCTCTGCTTGTGTTCCCTCTCTCGCTGTGTCTCTGTCAGATAAATAAATAAAATCTTTAAAAAAAAACAACACAAACATCTGGCCAAACAATATGTGCTCTCTCAATAAATAACAGCTCCTGAGATGATTAAGTAGGAACAAGAGATGGGGGCAGGAGAGCGCCCTCTGGGCCCCCCCCCCAAAATCCCAGGTTGGAGATGCTCAAAGCGGACATTAAGCCGGTAGGGATGTTTCACAGATATGTTAAAATTCATGTTGAGGGCGGTGCAAGGCTTCAGAGGAGCTGGGAACAGGGGGGAGGGATGGGGCCCCTTCTGAGCATCCCTCTCAGCTTCCCAGCACACTCAGCTCTCAGCAAGTTACTTCATGACTTTAGCAGGTTACTTAAGCCTTCATTTGCTCACTTGTAAAATGGGCTTGTTGTGAGGAATACATAAGTAAACTTACGTCAAGCACTGAAAGCAGTGCCTGGTACACAGTAAGCCATCTAAACATGGTAGCTAGCATCATTATTCTTTTTTT